TTCTAACTTTTTTCGTCTTGGAGATAACGAGTGAGTTCACCTTCTCCTTCTGATCTTTCCAACAGAAAGTGGACCTCCATCTTCTTCTGTCTCCACCGACGAGCTTGGTTCGAGTACTTCGAAACCAGCAATGATAAGGAGTTTGTCAAGTTCAGCCTTTCTTCGTCAAGATATGACTGTAGTTTTCAATTGCGCATTTCAAATTAGAGGAAATTACATTTACAACTTCAAAGTTATGACTGTCAGCAGTAACGTAAAAGCTAAGTCCAAGTGATCTGACTGTTCGTTTGACTATAGCAGATATTTCGTTTTGCCTCACTTCCGTAATAGATCTATCGACACAATGTCATCGGCATAGTCCAGCTGTTGTACGCTCTTACAAAAGATTGTGAGAAGTGTCGATCCTCAATATACCATCTCCCCTTTCGATCGTGACAAAAGCCATTAGTTTCTTTAGCTTCTGTACGTACGAAGCTTGTAATGCCATCCAACAGTTTCCTTATACCGACTGGTTGATGAGTTCGCTCAGGAAGCAAGGCTGCAATTGAAGTAAAAATATTTAGCTGTTGCTTCTCGACGTCTGACTTTACTTGTGTTTATACAGCTGCGTTCTCAACTGTAGTGAAGAGTGGTGGGTGCATATCTTGACTGCCCCAAGTAGGTGTTCAAACTTCGGAGCGTACGCATATTTAGCACACTGGATATACCGTCCGATCCTATCGTCCGTCATGATTAAATTGGCTACGAATCCTTCGATCCTATATTGGCTACGAATCCTTCGATTCGGACAGGACTGTGATAGTCTGGTATAAAAATTACTTCCAGCACTGATCGGATGTGCAGAAAGAGTTACCATGTTTTAATCTGTTTCCAAACTTCGAAATTTAGATTTTCTCACCTGTAAGCGTAACACCAAGGCCAAACTGTGTGGCCGACGAGCTGGCCAAAAGGAGAACAGTCATAACCCCGGTAAACTTCTTTGGCCAAGCAATTGTCATGACTAGCCTTTAGTAGATGGCAGAGTGAAAAATCGTGGAATGCGACAGGAAAAATCTGGCCATTGATTGAAGTCTATACTCCCTTTAACAGAATGCATCACAACCGGCGTAATAACCAGACACTATCTTATGGGAACTCATAGTAGAAGGAGGACATAGATGGGTATGAATTAAGTCTGTCTCTGCTCAACTTTCCGTGCGGACCGTTTTCGTTATTTCGAAAAATTCTTCTTCGTTTGCCTTGCAAGAGCTTGCATCAGTAGGCATCATTAATCTCCTGAATTACATAAAATACATCATGCGGATTGAGCAGTTGGGAATGTGAAAGGAGTCTCCTTCACAGGACCAACCTGCATTTTCACCTCAGTGGATACGTCAATAAGCAAAACCTTGCTTTTTCGAAAATAAGACTGGATCAATAGTTACGTTGAATGGATTACGTAATAGCGAGAGGGAGACCCATTTTATCCATCAAAAAAGCATTTCCTTCATTTCGAAATTGGGAATAAATGAAATTAAAATTATTAAATTAAACGAGAACCGCCACATAAAATCAACATAACGACGAATTATGAAAAGGAATCATACTGTCAGAAATACTCAAGTGCTGTTATCGAAACTAAAAGAAACTGTTAATGATGAACATTTTCCGTTAACCTTTTAACGTTAACTTTTAACGATTTACCAGCAACTGTTAATGTTTCAACATTATCTGCTAACAATTTAACATTATCTGTTAACGACTTAACATTATCTGTTAACTATGTAACATTATTTATTAACAATTTGACAATAACGATTAAGAATTTCGTTTCAGGCGAAGACGAAATAAATTTTTTTTCTAAATGTTTTAACCGAAACGATTGAAATTTGAACTTAATCATTGTGAAGCAGCATTGATAACAGTTATGATTTAACATTAACTGGTAATGGTTTAACATTAACTGTTAATGATTTAACATTTTCTATTAAAGGTTTAACATTAACTGTTAATGATTTTACATTAACTGTTAATGATTTAACATTAACTGTTAATGATTTAACATTAACTGTTAATGATTTACCATTTTCTATTAAAGGTTTAACATTAACTGTTAATGATTTAACATTAACTGTTAAAGACTTAACATTTCCTATTATAGGTTTAACATTAACTGTTAATGATTTAACATTAACTGTTAATGATTTAACATTAACTGTTAATAATTTAACATTAACTGTTAATGATTTAACATTAACTGTTAATGATTTAACATAAACTCTTAATGATTTAACATTAACTGTTAATGATTTACCATTTTCTATTAAAGGTTTAACATTAACTGTTAATGATTTAACATTAACTGTTAAGGATTTAACATTAACTGTTAATGATTTAACATTATATGTTAACGATTTAACATTATATGTTAACGATTTAACATTATATGTTAACGATTTAAAGTTGTCTGTTAACGATTTACCATTAACGAGAGCATTTCGTTTCAGGCGAAGACGAAATTAAATTTTTTTTGATGTAGCATTGATAACAGTTGATAAGATTGAAGATAATCAACTGTTAGCTGAGTGGTTAGCGTTGCGTACTTCCATACGCAAGGCTAGGGTTCAAGTCCTGGTGTCGTATTAACATCCAAAAAGTTATAGATAATTATCTTAAATAAAAACTTAAGTTAAATTTTCCAATTGCGGCCACCCTTTCGAGCGTATTTCGGACATGAAAAAAAGTTCCTCATAATAAAAAACATTAGCCGTTCGGAGGCGGCTTAGTATGAACTGTAGGTCCCTCCATTTGGTGGAAAAAAAAAACCATCAAGACGCAAAACCACAAATTGTAGGAGGAGCTCGGCGCTTCAGCGGTTACAAAGCTTTGACTTATCGAGACATAGCAAAATGTCATTGAACCAAATTTACAACATATAATTTACTAATTATTATTATTTCTTGTTTTTCTTTTTCGTCACGAGTTGATTTCTTTAAATGTTTTTAATTGGTGATTGCACAAAAACCCCTTAAAGTAGAGAAAAAATACAAGTTTTTTTTTAAGTTTTGTGTGTGTTTGTTTTTTTTTTCTAATTTTTTATTTATATATACACATTTTTCACGTTACTTTATATTATTTTATTTGCATACACTATTTATACATGTTTGCATCATTTCTTTTAAGTCATTTTTTTCATTTGTTTTTTTTTTTTTTTTAATATTTTTAATACATTTCATAATGTGAGAAGAGACAGCATGAAAGAGTACAAATAAAAGAGGGATAAACTTAATAACCAAAACATATAGTTTTAAGTTTTTATTTTCTTTTTTCTTGAAAAAGTTCCTATGTTATGGAATATGGAATATGGAATATGTAATATGCCATGGCTTGCCACATACAAATAACGGGTTTCAATTTGTTTCTACAACTTAGTAAATCAAAAAGTTAAACAAGCAGGGTAGTCAATAAAATAATAGTAAGCACGAAAATCAAACTGAACAATAAATAGCACAATAAATGCATACAAAAACGCATTGCGAAGCGAATAATGGAATCATTTCTAGCTGTTTGATTTTACACAATGTTGCACATTGATTTAACTCATTTTTTATTTAATCCATTCTAGTAGTATCAATCCTTTGGGCAAAATACTTTTAGGCTATCGAATAAGGCATTTATTTTGAGAGTGACAATAGTTTATAACAAAAATTTTAGAAGCGACACGGAAGCCACAAAATTTTCGCGTCGGTGCAATCAAAGAGACTAATCGAAAATTAAATAATTTTCATCTTAATATTTGAAACTTGGAATAGATAAAAATAATTTTTATTTTAATATTTTAAATTTGAAAATAGAAATAGAAAAAAAATTAAGAATATGCTAAAGTGGAAAAAAATTCCGTAACAATAGAAAAAACTATTCGCACCTAAAAAACTCTACTTTGCCTTTAAGTATTTCATTAGAACGCGTTTTTATATTTGCCTTTCGGTTTGAATGGAATGATTTCCAAAAAATTTACAGCCGACTTAGGAAATGCGTATACCATACAATAAGTTCTTTACACTTTTCCCTTTCTTTCCGATTTAATGTAAACAAAATACACATCAAAATAAAATAAGTGTGCAATTTGAAAACAATTACAAATACAAAAAATGTTCAACAAACGTGCCGTGAGCAAAAGAGTATAAATATTGTTGTATCTCGGAACAGAAAGTATGTACCTGACCTGACATGTTCAAATTAGCGTATCAACAAGCCAGCCAGAGACTTAATATTTTCAAAATGGTGTGTCTACAATTAATGCTGCAACTACCCAACTAACATACCTCACAGCCATAGCGTGGTATCTTATGAGAGCGTCATGTAAATGAAAAATTATCACCGTTTGCCGATGCCGTTACTGATGGTTGTCCTGCAAAAAATATTCGTGTTTGTATATTCTCTGCCAGTCGCGTGTTACGGCAGTGAGGTATGTAAGATGGGTAGTTGCAGCATAAGAAAATACCAAGCCACCATTATAATGCACATTTTGGAAAAATGTCGACATTTTGAGTGCATAATTTAAACAGTTGATAGCATTTTTGTTTTTTTTTCCTTTCTTTTTTTTTGTGTTTGTTTTGTTGAATTGCATTATAGAAATTTTATTTTATTTTTATTTTTTGTTGGCTGTTTGATTTTATTACATAAACACACATATACATATACATACATATACATATACATATATATATATATATATATATATATATATATACATATTTCATTTTATTTCCGCTTAAGTAGTGAGCAACATCCATTTGCAACAATAATAACAATAATTTATATTAGTTTGACAATAACATTCTAAGAAGAATGTGCGTATTTTATACCTTCATACATACATTATTGCATCGCATTTTTCTACAGCATTTTGCCGCATTTTAGTTATCCATATAGTACATTTACATATAAATTGTTTGAAAAAATTATCTCCGAGTTGTATCTTAGCATTTTTAGAGGATTATTTAAATATCTTCGTTGCGTTTTTTTTTTTTTTTTTTACTATTAAAGAATAAACAAGGCAAGCAAGGGCAGCATGTTATAAATATATATGTTTTTTTTTTTAACATATTTCAATTTTATCATTGCCAAATCAAAAAAAAATGGCAGCTAACTGTATTAGCACACTTGCATTTTAGCAAATGTAGTTAAGCCATCCACAGCACGGCATAACAATCAAAATATCTTTAGCTAATTTTCAGCATTTTTGGCTGCTTCTACATTTAACCTTCTTTACAATGACATAGCTGGTATTTTTCTTTTAATTAATGATGTTTCATTGTTTATTTTGTACTAAGACTTTAGTTTCAAATTGCAATCTCTAATAATTCTTGCTGTCATTTTTCTTATACGTCGCTTCTTCGTTTTTTTCCTACAATTGTTTTATTGTTATTATTGTTGACTGATGTTGCTTTGCGGTATTTACAGCAAAAAATTATTCGCGTTTACTATTTAATTAATGTAATTATATTTTGTTTTCTCATACTATGAATATTTAGCACTAATGCTCGCCGCCATCAACATGATCTTTCCATTTCATCGTTTTCAATATTTCTGCTATCATCATCATCATCATTATTACTCGTTTCGCTTTCACACTATTTTATATTAAATACACTTTTTTAGATATATTCTTTACTGTGCTGGATGTTGTGGCATCAATATTTGAAATGGCTGCGTTTGCTGAGGATGTTGTGGCGTCGCGGAGTAATAATGATTTTGCATTAACTGCGTCGGATGTAGAACGGGATAGACGACTGGGTACATGGGTTGTGTTTGTGGTGCGAATGTTGGCTGTGGGCCAGCACCAGCTGGCGAAGGCTGTGGCGGCGGATGGAACGTTTGATGTGGTTGTCCCGGTGAGGGCGTTGTTGATGGTGGAGTTTGTGCTATGAACTGCAGTTGCTGTGGTGGCGGTTCGTACATGCGCACCTACGATTTAAAAAAAAAGGTTAATTTATATAAAAATTAAATAAACTACAAAGGAATTAAAAACTTAAATTTTGTACTTACATTTACGTACGGTTGCGATTGGAAATGTGGCGCATGCGGTGTCTGTTGGTAGTGTATGAACTGTTGTATAGGCGCTGCTGCTAGCAAAGGTTGCCCAGTAGCCGTGGTGGCTGAAACGTGAGTTTGTGTTGCAGCCATGGGACCTGTAATGTTGGAGAGATAGCAGTATTATAAAATTGCATGTGATTAAATTGAAATTATGAATATGTTTCCCTTGGGCAGCAATGCGCTCCAAAAGGATTGAGCCGATTATTCAGATAAATTTGTAACGAAATTTGCCCAACATGATAGTATATATGTATGTATGCAATAGAACTCACCATAATTACCCCTACGCATGCGCGGTTGTTGGCCTGTCTGTGGATGTGTTGGTGCCTGAAATGCGGGCTGTTGCGACTGCATTACATACATAGGTGTTTGATTCGCAGCTTGCACATGTGCCCCTGTCGTGTAGATGCTCTGCATCGGTATAGGCGTTTGTGGTGTATGCGGACGAGATGGATTCGGTGTACTTGGGCTGCGGGGTGTGAACGGTTTTGCCGACGGGTTTAAAACATGTGTTTTCTTTACAGTTGTCGTTCCGCTTGAGGGAGCACTGCTGGTCGTTACAGAAGAATTACCGCCACCAGTGGGAGTGGTAATTTTATCAGATGATATATTTACTCCCGTATTGCTGCTAACTGGTGTAGTTGCGGAGACAGGTGTCGCATCAAGCTTGTTCAATTGTTGTACCGTTTGTTGTTGCTGATGTTGCTGAGGCGGTGTGTCTGACACGGGCGGCGAATTTTGTTGAATTTGTGGCTGTTGTTGTTGCGATTGTGGCTGCTGCTGTGTTTGCGGTACATGGTGGTTAGGCTGCTGCGGTGCCTGTTGTTGCGACGACTCCTGCGTCAAAGATACAGTGGGCTGTGTTGGTGGCTGCTGTTGATGTTGGTGCTGGTGTTGCGGTTGATGCTGGCCTGACGTTGGTTGCTGTTGTTGCTGCAGATGTGGCTTTTGTTGTTGCTGAACTTGTTGTTGGTGTACATGCTGGGGTGGAACATGTTGTTGTTGCTGATGGGTTTGATGTTGCTGTTGCTGCTGCTGTTGTTGTTGTTGTTGCTGCTGCTGCTGCTGCACCAAATGTGACTGTACGTAGTGCTGTTGCACATGCGCCTGTTGCTGCTGAGTCGGAGGCGGTGGCGTATGATGTTGACCATGGTGTTGTTGCTGCAACTGTTGTATATGCTGCTGTGGTTGCTGTTGCGGTACGACAATTTGTTGCTGCTGTGGTGGCGACACAGACGGCTGTGGTTGATGACCAGCACTTTTACCCACATTTAAATGTTGCTGCGGCTGTGGCTGTTGTTGTTGCTGTAAGGGCACCTGTGTTTGCTGTTGTGGTGGTGACGTTGACGTGCTATTGGCCAACTGGAAATCTTGCGAAAATTGTCGTAAATCTTGCATTTGATTTCGTATTTGCCTCTGAGGTTGTGGAGGAGGCTGATTAGGTGGACCAGTTATAACTACACCACTTGTTTGAGTCTGTGCATGGCCATGTAGACCACCAACGTTTGCTTGTAACGGCGGCGACGAGCTACTGTTGATACCCATTTGTCCTCCCATTTGTTGTTGACCATGTGAAGGACCATGATTCTTGCCCATTGAAACCTGTAAGTTTATGAACAGTATGTTCGTTAATTAATATTACGATTCTAAGTAAAACTTTAAATATACCTGTGATTCGTTATAACTCATAGATGAATTTGATTGAGCGCCTTGATATTGACGCATATTACGCTGCGACATCGGTTTAGACGAATTTGTATTAACATCGCCATTTATTTTTGCCGAAACGCCAACATGCTGCTGATTCCGATACTGTGATGACCTACAAAAAAAATTTTATTTAATAATACAAAGAGATAAAACGATAATAGTACACTTGGCATACCCATGCATAATTTGAGAATAGTTCTGATAAGATTGTTGATTTTGAATAGACATAGCCTGATAATTGCCACCTTTTCCCCCACCACCACCAGTTTGGCCGGCAACAGAGTTTTGAGCTAGATTTCCTACGTTGCCACTTACGCCCGTTTGAGTGTTTGAGTTATTAGTTGATGGAGTATTTCTTATCATTTGCTTGCCTTGTGGCACCGTTTTACGCTTCATCATTGAGCCACCGACGTATTTGTTGCCACCTTCCAAACTACTACCGATTACAGGATTAGAGGTAGCTTGTAAGGCTGTCGTAGCTTTTAACGCTCCTGTCATTCCTACCGTACTAGCTTGGGTAGAATTATTTTGCTGTTGATGTTGTTGCTGTTGCTGTTGCTGCAGCTGACCAATAGTTGACGATGTCAGTGGATGAGCATTCATAATTATATCACCGCCACTATTGCTGCGGTCTATTTGACCTCGTTGGGTAGGGCCATTTCCACTAGTTTGCGAAGATACCGAGGTTGAGGAATTCATTGTGCTAGTGGATGCCATGGCAACAGGCGGTGGTGGACCGGTAATACTTCGAGTTGGCTTTGTGATATATCGCTCCGTCATTGTTTCACGTTGATCGAAGGCGCCAGTACCCGAACGTTTGTTTCGTTCCCGATCCTCACGATCACGTTGTTCGCGTTCGCGCTCCCGTTCACGTTCCTTCTCTCGGTCGCGTTCACGTTCTCGTTCGCGTTCTAGTTCACGATCTCGATCGCTTTCGCGCTCGCGTTCGATCTCGCTACCTGGACGTTCAACTGCTGCAAAAAGTTGTTCTTCATCACCGTTCTCCAAGTCAACTCGCTCTCTATAAATAGGATTGTTCTCAATTTCGGCGGCCAACTTTTCCGCTTTAGCTTCAGCTTCTTTAAATTCATCAGAGTCGACTTTATCCAATTGAACAGTGTATGAAGAGAGCGAATCATCGAAAGTAGACTGAACACCAAAAACGTGCTCATTCTGACGGAACATATCGTTCGGATCCCAACCGTTTGCTGCACCATCCAACTCGATGTCGACGTCGCCATTCATTCCAGATGCATCCCAAGGTTCAAGTTCTTTCTCCTCTAATCGTATGCCTTCATCGACAAGAATCGGTTAAAAATAACTAAAAAAAAATATATATATATTTTCTACAAACATACCATTAAACTTCTCTGATATCGCTCCATCCGTTGCGAAAGTTCTCGTTGTGGCATAACGAGAATCAAAATCCTTTGCCGAAATGTTTACAACAGTGTCACAAGGGAATATCATATGATTTGGGACATGTTTGCCCTCGTCTTCATGCTTGTTAGTCTTAATACATAGTGGCAGCTCAAGTGCTACGTCGAAACTTGGCGAGAATGTATGAAACACCCCCTCGTAAATATTACCCGAGCGCAGACGAACCTGCACTAGGCTGCCCACCAATGATGTGGCGGCATGTATAAAATGGGTGTTTTTGTACACTCCTTGGGCCTGCGTACGTCCTTTATGTGACTGTTGTTGGTGTTGGTGTTGGTGTTGGTGTTGCTGCTGCTGACGATTGTCGGACACATATCTTTAGGAAAGAGCGAAATAAGAAAATTAAGAAACCAACTTTTGGTAAAAAAAAAAGAAGTAAGAGCTTTCCTAACGTTAACGAAATTCTCTATTAATAATTGCTTAAAGAGGGAAACATCCATTAAAAATATTAATACTTAAAGACCACAGGACCACCTAACCAAAGATAAGTTATATGTATCCAAATCAATCTTGTGAACCATTAGAGTATTGAAAAAAATTCAATGACCATGGCAAGGAACTTTTTAAATAATTAACAATACTTTATAAGCTTCAGTAACAATATGTGTACATGGTTATCAAGACATTATTATTAGAAGATTTCTGCGTTTAAATATTGCAAAAATTAGAGAAATTTAAAAATATAAAGACTTTGCTCCACATTCTGCCCTTGGTGATAGTCAAATCAAACGGTGTCGGAATTAGGGTAAACTATAAAAGTAAAACAAAATATAAAGATAGATAAATTTTTATATGCTATATATGCTCTTGGTAATGTTTTAATTCTATCCTTTTAATTCATAAGTGAAACAATGGATTTGATAACACATGGCTGTAATCTTTAATGTTACATAAGATCTGCTTAGTATTCATCAGTTACTGTAGTCATGTAAGGGTTTGGCTTCTCGGCGAATAGACCATACATGTAATGTATGAACCTATTTGTAGCTGTTAGCATGATCACTTACCTTCCTACGCCACTCGTGCGATTTTTGCGTTTATTACTATTAGTGTTCATGTTGATGTTGCTACTTTGAAATTCGCAACAGTTAATGGACAAGTGGCACTTTCCCTTGTGCCCCTTTGTATTGTAGCGACCCGACGACTTTTGTTCCAATTTATTCCCCTTCTCCAACACTTTGATGCACTATGTTAATATGTGATGTATTTGGAAGGCACACGCTACGTTCAGGCAAGCACGTTTTCGTTCCTTTTACCTATGTAATTTACAACCGCCACAATAATGACTTTATTTCTTTTATTAAAGTTTTTACTTCAAATCTTAAAAAAAAAAACTCTGGATGACAAAGAAGTAAATTCAAAGGAACGTTTCACACTTTGTTAGTTCTTTTTGTTTTAATTTTATGCAATTATCGTACGCGACACACACACACGAAGTTGCCGTAATCGATGATGGGTTAAATTCAACTTTCTTCTAGGATTATCTGAGAAATGTTTTAGTTTTTGTACCAAAGCACAATTTTTTTTAGCTTTTCCTACTGCAAATGACTTTGTTTTAAACTACGGTTTAATATCTCGGTCACTTTACGCTGATGTTGCTTCCTACTTCTGCGTTTTTGATTTTCTTTAGAAATTCCTTTTTGATGTGCTTCGCTCATGCAGTTTTCAAAGAACTTACAATAACGAATACCACGTTGCCACCTTCTATAGCTCAACAATTTTTCTGCCAACGAGCAAACAATTTTCTGCATCGGCTTTCCGACGTATGAGTTTTCCTAATTCTTCTTAATTTATTCGTAGCTGAACATAAATGTTTAAAGTACAATAAATACTCAGGAACTGTCCATAAACAGGTATAGAACAGTATACGCTTGTTAATTTCCTAGAAACTCACTAGATTTACTAACAAAGTTGCCAGGTAAACTATCACAACAGTTGTTCCAGTTCCCCAATTCCTTCAGCCTTCCAAAGCTGCCAGCTGTTACCAAAAGTATTCTTCTTAAAACTTGTGAAAATGTAACGATTTTCACTCGATGACATCCCAATTCCATCGAGTTCAATTCATAGGTCCTTAATATTAAAGCACTAAATTTGTTTTACAATTTTATATCCGCATAGAACTTAACAAACATTTATTTATTACTACGTTCTCTGTTTGATATTGCATTAAATTTGCACCATTTCGTTACTCTAACTTCTCTGATGATGTGTCAAAGGTACTCAGCGCCATCTATGACTGATATTCGAATTGGCGTTTCAGTTTTTTTTACCGTATTAGGGTATCCATTGCGTATATTCTGATGAGCGTAATATTTTAAGTTTCTTTTTTTCATTAGAAATGTATATGTTATTGTGTTACGTATATTTAGTTATGATTCTGGTTTTAAATGGTCAATTTGTCAAAGATTTTTGTGAATGTATCGAGCTATCGAATTTGTCGATTAGTGTTATTATCGATATACTAACTACAATCGGCAGGTCTACATGTGTTTACAATTATCAGTGAACTCTGAAATTATTACCCACATATGATTTATACCGGTGCGAATAATACGTCGGGGAATCCTTTATCGTTGTTATCTAGGGAACGCCTCTTGGATACCGGCAATATTCAAAGAAAGCTCAATAAAAGTAATGTTTATTATTAACCGGACGGTCAATTTCCCGAAGGCAGGTGGATTGACTGTGGATATCTCAGAAAACACATTAACCTAATAATACGTCTACCACCCCTCCCAACAGCTGGTATTTGTTACCAAAAATTCTTCGCCACTACAGGATTTGCGCCGTTCACTTTCAACTTCTTTAAAGCAAAATTCGAAAGGATTCTCCGCCGTTATGTCTGAGGCACTGGACAAATTGGAGCAAAAACAGATACAAAATAAAATTGAGCACGAGACAGCGATTGAACAGGTGAAGTCAACAAAACGTCAAAAACGTGAATTGAAACGCAGAAAATGGGTTGATTGGAATACGCAAGACGAACAGGCAGGTGACACAAAGCGTGCAGCTTTTGACCCAGCCAACCGGGTAAAGCGAAAAAAGTGTGCAATGCTGTTAAGCTACTGTGGCGCGAAATATTTTGGTATGCAACGTAATCCTGGAATGCAAACAATTGAAGAAGAGCTATTTAAAGCTATGCTAAAGCACAAGTGGATTACAGAGGAAAGTTTTGAGGCAGCACAAGCAGCATGTTTTCAACGTGCTGCCCGTACAGACAAAGGTGTATCAGCTGCACGTCAGGTGTGCTCGATAAAGTTACGTAAGTTACCTATAATGTTTAAATATCTGAGAAGTTATTTTATTATATGATGGCCTCCTGTAGCTGATTCGGTGGATATAAAAGCTTTAAACGAAGATCTACCCGAGGATATACGTGTCTTCGGTGTGGAACGTGTCACGAAAGGTTTTAATGCTAAAGATCAATGTAATGCTCGCACATACACATACACTTTACCTTCTGTTGCATTTGCGGATTGTACAGAAAAACATGATTTTGAAAATTACCGAACTGTAGCAGCACACTTGGAAAAGATTAAAGATACTCTTCAACTATACGAGGGTACAAAAAATTTTCATAATTTTACAAGCAGAAAGTAAGAACACATCGCTCTTAGTACAATCATTATTATTGAATTGGAGATTGATAATATACTCTTCTTTTTCTCAGGAATTTCTTAGACCCATCTGCCAAACGGTTCATAATGTCATTTAGCTGCTCTGAGCCATTCGTTTCACTACAAGGCGTAGAATTTCTTACGCTTAAAGTAAAAGGTCAAAGTTTTATGCTACATCAAATACGAAAAATGGTCGGCTTGGCGATAGCAATTGTACGAGGTAACACCACAGCGGCAACATTGGAGCGTGCTTTGACCGAAGAGCGTCTAGATCTACCAATGGCACCTGGTTTAGGTTTGGTGTTAGATACCGTGCACTATGAACGCTACAATGATCGTTATGGTAGGGATGGCATACATGAACCGCTAACTTGGAGTAAACAAGAGACTGAAGTTAAAGAATTCATTGATCGCTATATATACGCCAATATATATGAAACAGAAACTAGGGAACGTTCAATGATGGAGTGGTTAGAGACTTTACCACTGCATTCTTACGATGCTCGTCGAGATGATGCTCAAACAACAATGAATAATGATGATGCTGTGAATAGGAATAAGCAAAATGACGACGACGATGAATGAAATGTTTTGATTCCATTTTAACAATAGATAATTAAAAAGAAATGAATTAAAAAATTTTAAATCTCTCTTTATATAAAACACTAAAATCTATGATTTTACTTTTGGGCTGACTTCTTTGACTGGTGCCGATGCCGAAGGCGAGTACATTTTGCTTAAGATTATGTACGTCATGCGTTTGTGACTTTCTGTCTTGCGAGTCTTTTTTATGAGTCGACTTTCAACTTCTGCTTGCAGTGAGGGCAATTATTTGGTTATGTGTAAACAAAAAAAAAAAATAAACGAAAAGAAATATGTTACCGATTCTGTTGATGTTGTTGTAGCAGCTACCTTAACCCCACTTAAGGACAGGAAACGCGCCGTTTAGACGGGATCGAACCAGAGGGAAATGGGGGTTAGATGTGTCGGCTATCGTATTCTCATTTTAATTACGGCATCCTATACACAGTAGCTGTCGAAGTTGATTTGGAGTGACCGTTTGCGCATGGAAGAAAATACTATCACATCCATATCTTCACAAGAAGTGAAGAGTGTGCCAACTCATTGCATTTCAAAAATTGATTCCGTGAGTAATATATTTCCGAACGCTTTATACAGCGAAGCCATTACTATTTCCCAGAGATATATTTTTTTTCAGTCCGGAAATGCAGTTTAAAAATAGCGGAAACGTCATGTTTTAGGTAAATCCTATATAAAAGAAGTTCATAGTATGGGTGAGTTCCAAAACGTCAGTTGCGAAGCAACCATACTGTTACGATTTTACTGAATCAACCTCGATTATTTTCTAGATCCTTCGGGTACGATCTCTGGATTGTTAAATAAAAACTCGCCAACTTAGTTTGCAGTTTCTTTCGTTATAAAGATTCTATCTAATGTCCTTTATTCTCTCAGTAATTCACAATTCAATTATACTGCACTTTACTATTTATAATCACTAACATCAACTTTCACAATTTCCTCTACTTAAATGTAATTCCCAACGCGTTCACTTTACGTCTTCACTGATGTTAACGCCAACCAATTTGCTTTGTCACTGCTTGACTTGCAGCTGAGTGTCGCCTTTATATAGCAGTCGGCTGCTCGCAGACGAAAGCGTAGAAGCATCGAATTGTTCGCTATGGAAGGTTCTTGTGTTATCGGCTTCTCTCTTTCATCTGACATTCGCCTCGCATTTTCGCAACAATACATTGTCACGCACTCCTAAATGCAACTGTGCAAACTTTGACGATGAATAATGTTCCAAAATGCTTCAGTGAAGTTATTGATGCGCAAACAAAAGCAAACTGGGCATCGCTAAGCTTTGTGATGCCTTATTTCATCATAAATTCTTAGTAACAACGGCCGACGTCGGAGGGCAAGTTTTTTGCCCTAATATTTTTTTAAACATTATATTACTTATTTTTTTTTTTGGTCTGTTTTATATTTTTGCCATTTCACCGAAAAGCAACCCATTTGCACGAAAAGCGTTTCAAAATGTCAGAGTTTGCAAACTGTTGCTACAAGGCAAATATATAGAATGCAGGGTTGCATTGTTATAATGCGGATTTGCAACTGCATAATTACAAAGGATTTTGACGTTTTGGAACTCGCCTTATATTTGGGCTCCCATTGTGACAAGCCTAAGTCCAAGTTCAGAGTTCGCACAATAACAACATCCGTATATCACAAAAACTCATTTTGTTGTAGCGGCGGGAGTGACAGCCCGTGGTCGGAGAAAAATCCGTGTCGTTCCGGTATAAAGACACCCAACTGTCGCGGAAACTTTATGATTTTAATTGCTTCTTTTGACAGGCATGCATTACCACGCAGTGTCATAGAAAAACTCATCACATCATATCGACGAAGTAAACGTCCATAGCTTATAAAGTGGAGATTTACTCCCTCTACTATCAGACACTTAAAGACGGAGAAAGGCTCTCCCTTTCTGTGAAGCGAGTTGTGGTTCTACTCATCTGTCATTAAGAGCCCGTACGTAGATAAACGAATGCAACTTATCAAAAACCAGTTCCATAAAATTTTAGTTATTGTGGAGAACAACTTCATAGCCACAACGACAATCCGTAGCTGGTCCCATCGTTATTATTTACTTTTAGTCTCGTAGAGGAATTAGACATGAGAAATGCTTGTGAAGCTACTCTACTAGAATTTTTTCTCAACCCAATTTTCTTTGTTTAACACGACTACTTTTCATAGCCCTCCGACTAAAGCCATGCGGACTCTCTTTGTACATCGACTGAGTGATCGAAATCTAGGAAATATGCAAAAGCTAAAATAAATTGGGTTATTGAAAGGAAAATAAATCTAAAAGGAAAACAACCTTAAAATTTGTTTCATTAACCCTAAACGATACCAGTGGACGGACGTTGTGTTCCAATGATAACTTTGAGTTTTAAATATCACTCAGCGGATGTCTGCTTTCCTTCCCCTTTTCCCTGGTTTCAGCAGTTTGGTCGCTGTCTGATATAGTTGGAGTGGTTAAAGACAAGTTGAGTATTTCCATTAAAAAGTCTGTTCCTACTGGCCTTGATGCTTCAGCATTAGAATTCTAATACTTGAAGATCTTTCCGATAGCTCTCTGTGCCTCACCCTTTGTGAAATCGATCTCTGGGCTAATGTTTAGCAATTTTTGAAGCCAATTAATAGCAAAAAGCTGGCATAAATAGCTTCCACTGATTTTCCAATGGCTAAAAGCGTGTACGAATCAGGGAAGATGTTGTTCTTCGATATTTCGTGGCTTTAATGAAATTTCAAAAAGTCGAACAACTGTATGTGACAGCCGCCTCACGAATATCCTTAGTAGGCATTGCTTAAATACACAAAATTGGTAGACATTCTCCATGTATGATTGAGTAAGCGCTCATGACCTATTCAGTTCACAAGAAATATTTATTTTGTTTTATTTGACTATTCAACCTCTTAAATAAATAGTCATATATACATATACTTACATACATACATACATACATGTACTGTATATTTGCCTTATCTTCTCAAATAACTTTAATAAACACAAAACTACGCAAGAGAAAATTTATCTCAGAAGGAATTAAATAAATAAACAAATTTACTTTTTCTTTTAAGAAATCTCAAAACAGCGCAGGTGAAAACATTTTAAACAAACCATTTGTAAATCATAAGTCGGGAATTCTAAGTTATGATTAGAGTTTGTCCTTATATTTCGAAAACGGTTTCGGGCAAGTGACCGCAGCGTCTGGTCCGAATAAATTCCAAACCGATAGGTCCGATTTTCGGTAATTTTCTACAGAAATCGGGGCCTTACACGTATGTCAGCTATAGTGTGCCGAATATTTTCTTCTAAGGCTTCAATAGTCTCGGGCTTATCTCCGCAGAAGTTAATTATGTCATTAGTTGTGTGGCTTGTAGTCTTGTTGGAACCAAAAGTCGTCCGCATTTATATATTTCAATCATCCATCAGGCACGAAAAAGTCGTTAGAAATGGCTGAAATGGCCGCTTTCATTTTTAAAGAAATAAGAACCCATGATTTCCCCTGCCTTAATGCACCCCTGTGAGTTTGTGGCTAATCAACACTCCAATTGCGGCAATATTGTTTATTAACGTACCCATTTTTTTTAATCAAAAGTGTATTTCTTCTATGTACAAAATTCTCTTGTGAAAATCGGGATCCTCCGGAAAAATCATCCGTAAAGTGGATGGGCCCAGCTCCAATTACTGCAAGCGATGCCGAATAGACTCTTTCGAGTCTTCTACGATAGCAGCAAAAGTGTCTTCGGTGCGCACAGTACGGGCTCTCTGGGGATGTGCATTATCCACTAGAGTAAATGTGGAGCAATACTGTAGCATGGTTGGGATACGAAGCACTCATATTTTAGCAAAGTCACAAAATAGGTATTTTAAGGGTTGCTTATAGTAATTTTTAATAAATATATTGAGGATATAGATATAAAATATTTTCCAAGTAGTACAATGAAATGCCAAGAAACCTTAATCACACTTCGACCGTAGATCCTTTCTCTTTAGGCGCTTTGGTAGAAAGTTGGAATAGTCAGATAACCTTATATGATACATAATATTATTGGGGCTTTGTAACCATTGATTTTCGTCCGAGCTCCCACTTCAATTTGTGGTTTTGCGTCTTGATGTTTTTCCAACAACAAAGCCCCCTCCGAACGGCTGAAATACTAAACTAAATTTTCATTGTTTCACGCTCACTCACCATTGTGAGTTCTCAGAGGACCGTCGCAAATAATCCAACTTTTTTAACTTTTAGAGGAGATAGAAGGGGATGATGTCGGAAGCCCAGAGCACTCTCAAGCTCATTGATACATTTATTGAGCAAATTTCTTTAAACCCGGAAACGGCACCTTTGCCAATCTCTTCTGAGTTAGGTTTTGTTTTAGTTACCATACTTATAATGCCGTCAACCTGGATATCATTGAAAATTTGTCTCTTACGGGTATTAGACGGGCTGTGCGTTGAGATTTTCGCTGGTAATTGTAGACACGATTTGCAAATTGTGATGACGATTATTTACCTTTAGGGGTTTCTTAAAATTATAAATAAAAGGCCCATTTTACAATTATACCAATATTTGTTGGGTCCTAGACTTGAAAAGAGCATGAACTTACTTAAAGAGCCACGTGTTTCACTCACACTCAAGATTCTAAGAAGTTTAATAAGCCCAATCAAGTTCATCTCGCATATTTTATGCCATTAAAGACAACCGCTAGATGAACAATCCCATTATACTCTGTGGGCACAATAATTCGGGATATAAGAAACGCCATATAGATATTCGGTGTTTGGATCGAAACTGATAAAACCTTAAGTACGAGGTGTGACAATTAAGTAATAAGATTGATTCCATAAAAACCGTATATTTTAAAATTATTCTACAAGTCTGTCATCCCCTTCAAAGTAGTCCCCTTTTTCGCCCTTTAGAGGCCAAATACTGGGGCATGCTGAGGGCGGTGTGGCACGGCGCGTTGTCGTGATGAAGGATCCAGTTACGAGCGGTGTCTGGGCGTACCCAGTTGACTCGTTTTCCCACTCTTTCGACTATAGTAGACTTGACTTACGGTTTGCCTTAGTGGAAGAAATTCTTTGTGGACGATTCCACGGCTATCGGACGGGGGGGTGCGTGCGAAAACAACCATTGTGAGCTTTGGTGTTTAGTTCCCGGGTCGTATTGAAAAAACCAGCTCTCATCGCCTGTAATAACTCGATCGAGCAGCCCAATTTGGCAAAAAATGTTATCGCGTTGCTCTTGATTTCGTTTTTCCATTTTCGTAACGAGCACACGTTTACTCAACACGACACAGCAGGCGAACTAAATAAGTTAGAGCGATGGCAAATATATAAATGGAAAGGAGAAGGATGTCGGCAGAAGAGGAAGGAAATTTCAAGGTCGCAGGGTTATCACAATCGCGGCAATATAATCAGTCTCATTACCTAATTGTCACACCTTGTATACTCGGGTACAAATCAAAGTTATGTTGAAGATAATCGGTTTGATGTGAAAGATTGTGGCAAGACGTTCAACCAATGGAGTGAAGACTAAGGTCTATCCCACACGAATCCGACATCAACTTTGCGCTCCCTTAATGTGTCTGCTGAAGTAAATGTAGAAAGGGCGAGAACATTGAAGAGACTGTTCTCGTACCTTTCATCACAATTATAGGTCGGCGGTGATATCTAGTAATAATAGTCTTACGCGGACATCGAACTTCAGCGTAGCGGCAGCGCATCCGACATGTTTTTCTCATCCTTTTATAGGAACTGGTGTCTACGTGTTGGGTTGTTTATCCAGCGCACAATTTCGCCAGTCAAGTAGGTTTAAATTGTACATTTATAAAGCGTGACTTTTAATTCAGGGAAACCTTCAACCGAATATATCAGAGTGGCTTCACTGAAGTGGCTCTCTTTTAGCCGTAACGTGGACGCAAGAGTAGGAACTGGGTATAACCCTGCAACCATCACCGCCTACTCAAAAGATTGATTGCACACCTTCTTTAAGTTAATACTACTGGAAATAATAAGAGCTGTATACCAAAATCTTTAACAAGAGTGTGCAATTTTTTACGTAACGTCAATGATATTGATACCGTTGGATATACTCTCGTTAGCTGTGCCCTGACCTTGTAAGGCTTAATCTTTGTTCACCGAGACTTTATTTTTATTTGTAGCACCAGTTGTCCTGAGTGATGCTGTGGTAGGTTTCAATCTTGGTATTGATGTTGGTTTTGATGCCGGTCATTAGAGAGAACTGCGACTTTAAAGCAATGACCGTCAATAGGGACGTGGGCAGTCGACGACGAGGGTTTGCTGACTGTTTCTTTGATGACAGGAGATATTTCGTCTGGTTTTTATACACCACAATATTCATTCGCTTCACTTCTTTTTTCACTCTGGGTACATACTCGTACAAGACTGTTTTAGAATGAGGAACCACATTTGGAAGGACATTTATGAATGTGATGAAGAGTAAAGGGCCGAGGTGACTGCCTTGAGGAACAGCAGATGTTACTGAGATTTCACGTGATGTGCAATATTTAAAAGTTTAATATTGTTTTCCACCAATCAAGCACGACAAAATCCAGGGAAAGGAAGAAGGAAACCCGAAATAAACGAGGTTAAATTAAATGAAGAATGAGAGATCTTGTCAAATGCTTTACTGAAGTCAGCGTAGATAATATCAGTCTGACAAGTATTTTTGAAACCTCTGGATGGTTGTGAGTTCTAGTAGGTTCGATTTACGAAACCCATGTTGTGAGATGTCAATAATAGATGACCCAGAATGGGAATGGTTATAATCGCTTCGAAAATGTTGGCGTTAGAACTTGCCTTGTGTGTTAAGCTCTTAGGATTTGACATTTCTTAACAAGAAAAACGATTTTTTTTTGCTTTTGATTCCATGAATGTGCGCAGAAGCTGTTGACACTATTAATAAATATCAGAAATCGTGAGTTATACAGCTTCAATTGGTACAAAAGGAGAGACAGATCCAAAGTGTGGATAATCTAATTTTATATCTCACTTTGAGTTTACAAATAACAATAACAAAATATTAGTCAAATAAACTTCCAGGCACTAATTTAATAAATTAGACTTTATTTTGAAAATATTGGAACTTTTTTAATTTGCTTAAGTAATATTCGTAATATAATCGTTTATGTATGTATGGATACAATAAATATTTTATTGAATTATTAATGTTTTATATGTATAAGATTTTATTAATTTCGCCATGTCATGCTAAGAAAATATAAAACAAATATATACTATTTTTATTATTACCGTTAAACAGGCGGATTAGTAAATATCAGGCGACTTAAACTAGAGCCAAAGTCACAGAACAATAGGCGCTTGGCTTAGCTTGGCATATGGAAAACTTATTACGAATTACGAATGATTATTTTCTTCTATTAGTAAATATAAGACTGTTATAGCCTTGAACGTAGGCACCGATTGAAATATGTCGAGGCAACATCACTTCCAAGCTCGACTATGCAATTATCACTTGAGTATTCTTGCGCCTTGCAAGTTATGCAGGCGCTTAAAATAGCTAAATCGATTTTCGGTCGAGCTCCTCCTCCACTTTTTTAAGCTTTTAAGCCGCCTCCGAACGGCTGATGGGGTTTTCCTTCATGGTTAAAATACACTCGGAGTGCTTGACATGCCTTGGCGGTGCGACCGCTATCAAATATTCGGGTTTAAATAATAACGACCGCCGTCGTCATTTTCAAAACAACAAAGCGGCTGTGGCCGGTCGAACTATTCAAAAACTGGTTAGGTCGATGCATCAGCTTATTTGCAAAATACGGCCGGATGAATGCATTTACGCCGATTGGAACCTAAGTGTGCTCTGTCCAAATTATGAAAAGGGGGACCCTACAGTCTGCATCAATTAACATGATATAAGCCTCCTTAATATCACATATAAGCTCCCAAGGACCATATCAATGCGGCTTTAAGACTGGAAAATGTATAATTGACCATATACCACCATACGCCAAACCTTGAGAAAACCCCGTTAAAAGAAAATAGACGCATGCCACCTCTTCGTCGATTTTAAAACAGCCTTCGACTGGATGAAAACAAGTTATCTCTACGCAGCTTCATATGCCTGAATTTGGTATCCCTGCAAAAACTTATGCAACTGTGTAAACTGACGTTAAGCAACACCAAAAACTCCGTAAGGATCGGGAACGACCTCTCCGTGCAGTTCTATACAAAACGAGGTTTCAGACAAGGTGAATTCTCAGTGTGTGAGCTAAGTAGAGAAGGCATATTCTGCTGCTATCATTGTTCTCAACAACAGCGACGTGAGTTCTGCTTTCTCCCGAATGGATAAGGCTGTCATCAAACAGTCATCACATACGCGACTAGACGCCCACGTCACTGTTGACAGTCATAAATTTGAAGTCGTAGAAGTTTCGTCTATCTAGGAACCAGCATCAACACCAACAGCAATGTCAGTCTTGAAATCCAATGCACAATCACTCTTCAACCAACAGGTGCTAATTTGGACAGAATTGGGGCATTAGGAACGGCGAAAACTGCATTCGATGAAATGTTCGGTTGTATGAGTTATACGGTGCCATTGACATAGTTCAGTGAATCAAGAGACAGGGGCTACGCTGGCTAGATCTTGTGGTCCGGATGGATAGGAATACTCCAACTCTGAAAGTTTTCGATAAAGCTCCTGCCGGTGGAAGTAGAGGAAGATGAAGGCCTCCACTCCGTTGGAAAATCCAGGTAGAGAGGGACCTTCATCTACTTGGTATATCCACTCGGGAGAAAGGGATGAATGGCGCAATGTTATAAATTCGTCTAAAATCGCGTAAGCGTAAGCGTAAGCGTTATTAAAATTACGTATATACTTATGTGTATACAAAATTATGTCTTTTGCTTTACAAAGCCGTTCAAAAATTTTCGTGTCTCAGTTAATAAAGACGTTAATACTGTTGAGCTTTAATGTGAGTTATAGAAGTTTTCGTATGCGTAGTTAACTTCAAAATTATTATTAAATATCATATGAATTTCTCTTTGTTGCAGTTGATCACTGTGATCTCTGATGGGATGCTAATTGCTTTGACAAATTCTCTCGCACTATAAATTGATAAGTGGATGCCACACATACTCGCTGTACATATGGTACATTGGTACGGATGTCGTGGTATTTGTCCATTTGATTTATATCATTATGATTCGTTATGATTTCGATCGAAATGGAAAAGTACGGAGATAATCTCAGTTCGAGAACCGAATCGGAAAATTGGCAGACAAAGGGAAAAGGGGCAGAGCTCCACACGTGCATACATACGTACAGGTATATGGATTATCGTCTCATCTAATCATCAACAAATAACAGCATCCCACTGCGGCAAATAGAGATCTGCGAATTATGTGCGTGTGTGGGTTCTTTTTTACTCAATGCAGTTTCTCATAAAATTTTGTAGATAAATTTTATTATCGGGGTAGATATTAGCTTTAAAGTTCACGTTTAAAGCATTTGGCTGAGTAAGACAACACCTCAGTTGCACTCTTCATGTTATCGCGATGACGTCGATTACATAACCATCGGATGGTTGCGCGCTCCAGCTTCCAATTTCTGTGCCTAGATAAGCGCTAACGCCGTCGAAGAGCGATATCTTTTCGCCAACGAGTGTAATACGTTTCGGTTGGGCGAACGGACGTTCGGTCGAGCGCAAGGACATATTGGAAGACAGAAAGATCGACAGCTGGCAGCTAACCTCTACAACAGTACACGGTGTGGGCAGTGAAAGTGTAGTAAATTAATGCCAGTAATTGCGAATGGGATATAATTTAGGATCTCGAAAAAGCAATAAAAAAAATACAAGTCATTCTTGCGCATTGCTTCAGTGTAGAGTTAATTTATTTTATTAAGCTTTATTATCCCGTCGGCTGTTGAACTTAATTTAATTAAATTAAAAATAATTCAAGTTAAGCGTGTTGAGTGTGCCGCTGTGATCTGAACGTGTGGAGTGGCGTTGAAAATGTCGAAAAATAAAAATTTAACTGTGGAAGGTATGTACGATAAACTTGGATATTTAACTTTTTTTTTTAGTAGATTTTCACATTTGAGAACTTTTAAATGTATGGAAGACATTCGGATCCTGTTTTATTATTTTTACGACAACTTCATGAGTATGAAGGCTACTCATTGCCTTGAGTTGTAAGTCAAAGGCAAAACCTTATAAATTCCGAGATAATAGAATGCGGGTTATTAGCCCATTGTGATACCACCAAAAATCCTTGAGATCCCCACCCGCTAGTGAAACCAATGTGTGGTGTTTGCAAAATTGTGCAATCATCTTATCTTTGCCCCCGTTACCTCGGTCAAGTCTCTAAGTGTTGCTGCCCGCCTTGATTTCAACCTACTCCCCCAAAGTATATGTCTTAAGGTAAGGATTCAGGTACCTTTTCTTATATGCAATTTCTGAAGATTAAATGGTAGGCCCAATCTCTTCGCGGTCTGCTCAAAATAGGACTTCTATATAATTTAGCACTATAGGGTTGAGTGCCCTTCTTTTATTCCACGCTGGCCATATTGTTGTGGTCACATTACTCGAATAGAGACTTCTAAACCTGAGTTAGCATATTTGCTGAGCTATAATGAGCCTAAACTCTTCGATGAAGGTAAAAGTGGAAGTGGAGTGCCCTTCCTTGCAAGCTCGTCCACCATCTCATTTCGGTATGTTAAATACTGTTTGGCCATCGCCTCTGCTACAGAATCCAGGGCTCTAAATGCGACTTGGCTATAAAAAAAAATGATTATGATTTTCTGAGTGAGAAACAATTGTTAGCCTCATGTATAGCCGAACCATTCCGTTTGAAAAACACTGCAGTGATCTGCTAATCGAAATGATTAGACGACTGACCCTGATAATATTTGTTCGTTAGAAAATATGTGATTCAAGCACCACTTGTTAATTGGGGTATAGGTCAAAGAAAGGACTTAATAATGTTTGAGAAACTTTTTTGAACTTCTATGAAACACAGCGAAACACAAAAAATCAATCGATCAAGCAGCCGTAAATATGATAAGTGTTTATGGTCCTGATACTGTAACTGCCAATTATGCACAGTTTCGGTTTCGTCGATTTCGTGCCATTAATTCTGATGTAAAAGATGTTTTAACGTGTTGAAAGCCAATTGTCATTTAGATAATGAGTATGGCTAACCAATGGTCTCTAACGCAGTATTGATGGCCAAGAAAGTGTTTTTATGTGTTTGGTGGTATTAGCAAGAAATCAACAGCTATGAGCTGCTTCCCTAAAGTCAAACATTTAGTTTGGACCTTTTTTATCAACAACTAGACCGTTTAAAGGAAGCGATCGAACAGAAGTGGACCACACACATCAATAGTGGCTCGCCAGAAGCTCCGAGAGCTTGGTTCGGACCAAAAGCGACTGGTCCTGCTGTCGAATGCTTACCATCTATTCCTGTCTATGGTGAATAATTTGGCTGGTGAAGAAGATTGACCTCAGGAAAACCTGTGAAAATGGTTTCTATGAGAGCTGCATAATGACGTTACCTTTAAAATGGCAAAAAATTATCATCAATCAATTGTGGTAACTAAAGCAATAAAGTTTTAATTCATTCTATGGAAAAGATTTTCAAATATTTTAAAGAGAGATCGAGAATAATAATTATGTAGAGGAATATTTCTGGAGATTCATTGCTATCAATAAAAATAGAAATTAAAATGAATTATAAATTGAAAATTTTATTTTTATAGTTTTCCGTTCAGATTTAATTTTTACCTTTCGATTTTTATATTTCCGTTCCGAAGTAATGATTGTTTCTGAGCTCTAAATTTTTCTTGTCAAAAATAATCATGACCTTTATATACATATTCATAGATATTTTTTCATCAAAAATAACGATTTGCTTTTGAGTTTTATTTTGTTTATTTTCATTAAAAATATTCGTTACACTTTAAGTTTAAAAATTTTCTTCAAAAATAATTATTTATTTTTTTTTTTTTGATTTTCATTTTTCTGCTCAAAAATAAACAGTGGTTTTTTGAGCAAAATTTTTAAATTAAAAACTTAAATAGATTTTTTATATACATACATATATTTTTATAACGAATTAGTCAAATTGGCATAGCCCCTTTCTAATAAATGACATATTCTAAAATCCTTTGCTCGAAATTAACCAATGAATGAACTTGAAATTAACATCAAACCGAAATACATCTGCTTGATTATTTCCAAAGCAATCCATTACCGATTCATGTAAAAATGTACCATTTCTCTTTAAATAGTTATATACGCACGTATTCATACTTATGTATGTACCGCGGCCGAGGTAGCCGAGTGGTTAGCATTGCGTACTAACATTCGGAAGGCTCGGGCTCAAATCCCAGTGCGACCAACAGGCAAAACTTATAGAAAATTAATTTAAATAATAAATTAAGTTAAATTTTCTAATTGCGGTCGCCCCTCGGCAGGGCATGTCGACCCCTCTGAATGTATTTCGGACATGAAATAAAGGCTCCTCGTAAAAAAACCATCAGCCGTTCGGAGGTGGCTTAGTATAAACTGTAGGTCCGTTGTTGGAAAACATCAAGACGCAAAATCACAATATATATATATATATATGTATATATATATGTATATGTATGAGTATCTACAGTTACATATCGAATATTGTAGGAAAATATTTACCTGTTAAGACGCTTGTCGGAGAGTTGTTGTGGAAGTTTTTATTTATAGTAAATTATGTTGTTGCAACAACGATTTATGGCTCAAAGGTGTCCCATGTGAATGTCATTTTAACTGATGTCAGCTAGTGTCAGCTTATCACTTAGCTCTTATCTGTGATTGTGGGAAAATATGCAAAAAAAAAAAACATACATTGTGCGAGAAAAATAGACAAAAATTAAACATGTGAAGGAAATTAATAAAATACAATTTACGCTATACAAATTAGAAGAATTACGAGTGTGAGCTCAAACGCAGGGTGTTAGATGGATTTTTCCGCGTTTCTGTTTTCTCTCAATTACGTCACACGTTGGCTGCTCAGCGGTAACTCAAAAAAAAAACACTTTTCTGAGATAACAAATATTTGTAGTATTTTAAGTCCCCGTAAGATTTGGTACTGTAGCTTCTGTGTTGCAAAAATTAAATTCCGCCAAAATGTTTATTATTAGATTTTAGGTCTATAATTGTTGCTTTAAGCATATACTCGTACATAAAGCTGCTGTTGTTTACATATTTACTTTGGTTTTAAATTTAGTAGCTGCAATAAGCTCAAAGCGTGTGTCTTGACGCCATTTTTATAACGAGCTTAGAAAGTAATATAAGAGATCTTCTATAAAAAAGTATTATATTTTACATACATACACATATGTATGCATTTATTCAATTATATGTCATTAAATAAAAGTATATAAAAAGACATACTATGTATGAGGCGGTTGGAACTATGTAGAAAACCTTTATTTTTTTATATTTTTCTCCCTTGGATTACATGCAAATCTACAAACGTGCACCTACTGATAAAAGTGGACTTAATTTATGTTCATTATTCAGTATTAAAAATTATTAAATTATTTTAGTTTGTCTATTGAACTACATTGTAAGTAGAAATTTTGCGCTGTTTAGGGGAAAAACACTGAAATGGGAAGTCTTGCCCCACCCGCCGTATTCCCCAGATGTCGCCCCTTCTGACTTCCACCTACTCCGTTCGATGGCACACGGCCTGACAGATCAACATTTTCAATCCTTCGGAGAATTGGAAAAATGGATTGCTTCATGGATAGCGTCAAAAGAGGATTCCTTTTTTCGAGCCGGGATCCGAAAATTGCCGGAAAGAAGGGGGAAAATTGTCGCTAGCGAAGGACAATACTTTGAATAATATATCTGTAGGCACTTTTTCGCAATAAAGCTTCTAATTTTGGAAAAAAAAACGGCGGAAGCAAAGTTGTACACCTGATACTTCAATCCACTGAAATGTTCTACCCAAATTTCAATTGAATTAAATGGAGCAGAGAGCCACAGATCATGTAAATAACTAATAACTTGCCGATTTTTCATTTTAACTTCATGATATTGTCACTTGAAAAATATTTCATATCTTTTTCATACAAAATGCTAAGCAAGGCGAATCAATGAAGGTAATTTTGATTTCGCTTCAGCGTATAGGAAATCAATTGACTTTAAAAAACGCACAAACTCTTAAGAATAGAAAAACACATGGAATTCAAGTGAGATAAACATAAATTGATAAATTATATTGAAAATTACCACGCTCAATGTATTAAAGAACTTGTGTTCGCTACCGTAGTAACTTCGCCTTGTATGAAGAGCGACTTGTGGAGTAAGAATTTTGTACGTAAAGCCTTAAATCGTCTACTCCGTTGAAAGTAGCCATCAAAGGGGGAGGGAGGGTCTCTCATCCGAGGCATATTACGATTTTTCATTGGAGTTTACTTTTCATCTGGTGGATCCCAAGCCCTACGCACAACTGCATTAGATTCGCCTTCGCACTTTAGCTACCCAGGGGATACTTGGCTATTTTTAAGATCAGAAGTCGTTAGCTGCTTGAAACATATGTTTATATGCTCTTATTTAAATCGAATTTACATTTAAACTGTTGGGTTTACATAGAATCTGGTAGACAGATAACTCTTTGCATAAGTTTGCTAAGGGAATACTTTTTGCCCTGGAAAGTGACTAATCGAAAAATTGGTTTATAATTTTTGATTTAGATAAAAATTGAAGATTGGGTCTGTAACTGATCTTTTAAAATCAAATATATTTTTTAATCGTTTTACATGCATGAAATTTGGTGTTGGTAACTCTTTGTCTGAATTGCTATGAGGAATACTTTTCTTTCCGGTAGGTGACGCGGGACCGAGCTATTCGGAAAAACTTATATTTATGATTTGATTTACATAAAATTTGATGTAAATCTGATTAGAACCATATTAAAACACCATGCAGATGAAGTCGTGAATGTGAATGTTTATAATAAACTGTACTTCCCTCCAGTTGGTTGAAAACATCAAGACGCAT